TTAAATATAAATCGGGGGCAGAGCGTATGAAAATACGTGATTTATAATAAAATCACTTGATTAACTCAAATGGGCCGACGAGTTAGGTTTCTACAGATGTGAGCCTTTATAATATTATGATATGATTTAATGCTAACATTTTGTTTACGAACAGGGTTAAACGTTAACATGTTTTCGTGTATTACATTGCATGTTGCCTATCAAAGGGAGCAATATCATCAATTATCATATTATAATTGCTGTGAATTTTTTTTTTTCTATAATAAGAAATTTCAATTGATTATTTTTTTTATGGGGAAAATCGTATTAAAACTAAAATATAAAAAGGGTATATGAGAATGTGTAATGAAAAAAAAAATGATCGAGGATACCCATTTACGAAAATATTTTTAAAACTGCTTGAACCGATTTTATGGGACAACCATAACAACACCTAAAAGGAGAAAGATATTGAAAATAAGTCGTTTAAATTTTATTGCATGTGGTGCAACAATTTTAAAAAAAAAAAGGCAATAGCGTTACATCAATAACATCACCTTAATTATCGAATTAAATAATAACTAAAACAAGACGAACTCACTAAGAAAACAAAAACATATTAAAAAAAAAAAACCCTCAAAATCTCATAAGCATACAACTCATTTTCCCTGAGATCTATGCCGGTGACGGAGCTGCTCCCTCGTCAATCTCCGGCGGTGATGCTCCGTCGGATGTTCCATCGTCATTCTCTGGTGCCGGAGCCTCCACGTCAGCAATCTCCGGCCCCGGAGCCACCATCTCATCAATCTCTGGTGTTGGGGCCTCCACGTCAGCAATCCCCGGTCCTGGAGCCACCGTGTCATCAATCTCTGGTGTTGGGGCCTCCACGTCAGCAATCTCCGGTCCTGGAGCCACTGTGTCATCAATCTCTGGTGCCGGAGCCTCCGCGTCAGCAATCTCCGGTGCCGGAGCTTGGTCCACGTCGGCAATCTCTGGTGCCGGAGCTTCTCCACCGTCATCGGAGAGTGGCGGAGGAGCTCCGACGGCGGATCCGTCGTGATCCGGTTGCGGTGGCTCCGCCGGAGGGGAAGAAGCGTGTTTGAGGGCACAGTATTGCTTAAGGAAAGAAAAGAAGAACTTACTGCGGAAACGACCGAAAACAGTTTTCTGACAATCCTCGTCGATCTTCTGAACAGCGTGACAGCAATCTTGTCCGAGAGCGCACTTACGAGTGACGAAAGATTCATGGATCTCTCTGAGACAGGTTCCGAACTCTTTGGAATGGCTCAAGCATTTTTGGACTTGTGGGTCCACCGGGAAAGGCCTGACACCGCCGCCGTGGTAATGCCAGTGGCGGGGGGGGGGGGGTCGACAGTTCTCTTCCTGTGTTGCTGCGACATGGGAAATCGCAACGGTTGATACAAGGACTGTGGTAAAGAAGATGACGAGATTCTTCATTTCTTTTTTTTTTTTTGTTGACTTGAAATTTCGTGAAACAAAGGTTAAAAAGTACAAAAAAAATAATGGGTAAATAATTAAAATGAGTGGAAGATTTATATAGAGAGTTTGGTTGTGTGTGGATTGATAATTAAAGAATCTTAAGAGATGATTTTGAGATGATTTTTTATGATATTTTGTAAGTTGTTAATATCTCTTGTTATCTTATAAAATATGTTAAAAAAATCTAAGATATTATTAGAAAATCAAATGAATTTGATTAGGGTTGGTATGAATTTGATCAGGAATGTAATATGTCAAATCCGACTATTTTTTTTTATGTAAAACCGGAAAACTAAATTCAAATTAAACCATGTTAAACAAAAAAAATGGAGAAAACCATAATTTTTTAAAAAAACATCAATAAAAATTGAATTCAAATCGAACAATTCAATATGAAAATGGAACAATATAATTTTTCTACGATCAAAATAATCGAATAAGAAAATAATCAAACAGATTCTGGTTACATATATTTTGGTTAAAATCTCTTTGGACCAACAATATTATCCTCTTTTTAATAAAGGCCCTTTGCCCCCCATTTCAATGGGCCCCACTAATATTCAGTTTTGGGCCGCCCAATGAGATCTGACGTCTCTTGAACGGAGCTTCTCTTCCTTTGCGTCGTCGAAGATATCTCCGTGAAGTTTCACCAGTTTCTCGAGGACACTCGCCAATGCACCATCCTTCTCTCTCTCCTCGATCTCTCTCTTACCCATTCTGCATCTTTCACTCTCTTTGAAGTAATCGTAGCCATTGATCTTTATCAAGTTTCTGCCGTGATCAGGCCACACCCCCCTCCTGTCGTCCACGATAACCACGTGCCGTTCTTCCGCCAGGACAAGATCAAGGCTCTTCCTTTTGTTACAGCTGTCTCTTCTGGTAATGATTCGTCTCCCGAAGTAGTCTCCGCTCGGATCGAGCAGCTTCACCACCCTCTCGGCGTACGTGGGGCCCGCCATCGTGTAAACGTTCATGGAGAACAGCTCGCTTGCTTCGCGCAGGAACTCGCGTACGAAAGGACGCAACTTTACCAAAATCTCGCCGGAGTCCTCGAGATAGATCCTCCACAGGTCGTCCCTTGAATCCGCTTCTTCGATCAGATGCTTCCATGCTCTCGAAAGCTTCCAGATTTCACATGTCTGGACAAGCGTGTGGTCCAAGTCAAGAACCAGGTGAAGCTTCTTCTTGGCTAGATAGATTTCCGACCTCTTTCGCTTTATGAACCCCACGGCTTCGTGGGTTAGCTGTAATCCTTTCGCCAAGTACCGGAAAGGTCGAGCCTTGGAATTGCTCACCGCCGATTTGCATTGGCAACAGATTTCGTCGCAGACAAACCAGTGATCGCAATCAGTCTTAAGATCGATCTTCCATGTTTCATCCCTGAGTTCGATGGAGGAAGAGACTTGTATGTCAGTTCCAGGCATGTTTTCTCTCAGATCTTGCGGCTGAATTCAGGACAAAACCCTAAGGAGAGAGCAAATCGAAATCTTTGGCAACCCAGTACAAGATTTTTCCAGGGAAACTGGATGAAATCTGCGTGTTCCTCTTTTTCACAGACGGAGAAATCCAAAGGGTTTGTGTCAAATTTATAGAGAAGCCAATGGTTCAAATCCTGTTTAGGGTATGAGTAATGAGTAATGGAAATTTCTTACAAATCTCAGGACTCTGTTTTTGAAGCTTCACACGGTTTAAGCACCCAAGAGATCACTTCAATGCAAAATTACGGATTTGCCATTGGGCTCAAAAAAGGAAAGAACAACTATCGTTTTTTCCTCGAAGAAAAGAAAAAAACTTTTTTTTTTCGTTGGTTGCACGCTTACCGACGTCGTCAGGCGCTTTCGCCGATCATCCTCGCTGGTAAAAGGCCATTGATACAGAGGGCCAGAGGCAGCGGCGCAACACCCCCACCTTCTCCGCCGTGACGAGGAGATAAAAAACGGTGGTTTCCGGAAGGTACGTTCTTGTCGGAGATTTTGATTTTCGGAGCTAGTCGCTGTCGTTGATCGGTTTTTGGTGATTATTATACGGTTCTATCATTTCAAGGTTCGATTTTTTTTAGATGATTTGCCTGACAGGATATCAGAGAGGAATTTAGGGATTTGGGATGAATTTATTCGTTCTTTTGGTGGATGTAATTGGAACGTGTTTGAGGAAATCGTTTTGTCACATTTATGATTCAGTGTTATGTTCAATTTAAGGGGTGGAAAACTCCAGTGACTGGAAGATAATATGAATGATCTTTGATTGTGTCTTCAAGTAGGGATTCGGAGTGCACAAAGGCAGGTTCGACATATACATCTTGGCTAAGAACATTCAGATAGTTTGCAAGTTTTTGGTATTGTTGAGACGGATGAGGAGAAACAGAGTATGATCATGTGTGTGAGTGGATAATGTGATTGTTTTGAGATCTGAATCATGACAAAGTTTATGTGAAGCATAAGAGTAGGCAGAGATCTTCTGGAGGCAATGGATGATGAGATTTCTGGTGAAAAAAATGCCGATGAAATCGCGAGGCCTTTAGGAGAAAAAAGTACTGATCTTGATGTGGACCTTAATGGAAACAGAAAGCTGAATGAAGGGGGAGAGGAGCTATCTATATCAGAACCTACTGATCAGAGTAACAATCTGGTCTGTGTCTCGGATGATAAGTTTTCATTTCTAAGACTGGAATTGAATGAGTTGGGATGTGGTGAGGGAAGTGAGAAGACCGTGGAAGAGCTACGGAATTTTCTGCCCAGATGGGTCACCCGAGAACAAGTATTATATATGATTAGAGATACCGGGGAAAACGTAGTTGAAATCGTCAATAATTTCTATGAACATGAGACAAAGTTCTACGAGCAAGTCGCTTCTGTTATATCTGTCACTTCTAGCAAAAGGGTTTCCTGTGGTATTGAAGAAGCACCTGTTCCGGGACTTGATTTCATCAGCTGCATTCCTGAGGAAAATGGGGGTTCTCACTTGACACAATTTCACAAGCTTCAGGGCACGGCTAAATCCCTGAAGAGCAGTGTTTCTCCTGTGAAAAGGAACAAAAAGATCATGAGCAAACCGAAAAAGAAAGCGAAAGCGTATTCTAAGCCAAAATCTACAGACTCAAAACAGGCTACAATCACCAAGTTCTTCAACAAAGTTTCTTCAAACAAAACTAAAGCTTGATGCATTGGCGTTACGGCAAAGGGTTGGTGGAAAAGGTCTGCACGGTGACTCAGAACAAGAAATGGTGCTTAGTTTCTGGTGAAATCTCATGGGGGAGATGATCGATCTATATGTGCTGATGTTTCACTGGAAGCAATTTTGTAGAGCCAGGCTTTGGAGGATCTGTGTATTCAAGCATGAGAATTTGGATAAGGCATACGCTTGTATGGTTTCTCTCTCCAGAACAACAATTTTCCAAAGAAACCCAGAAGAAAATACAAGTGTTTCATCTCTGCACTCTGCAGCAGAAAATCTGGATGTGGCCAAGTGTTGCAAAACCTTTGGGAACTCAGGAATCTGGAATGGGCCCAAAGGTATGTGTATTTGAAATCAAAGCCTATGTTCTTGATCATGTAGGAGGCAGAAAACCTAAAACCACAGAGTATGTGCTTCTGTGCCATAGTTTTTTTCTTTGATCATTTTGTGCTTTTATCATCCATCATTTTCTGGGCAATGAAACATTCCATGCTGGTTCCACCTTTCAATCTTTAATCTTAATGTGATATTACCAACATTTCTCATTTCTCATTCCACAAGGATATGAATCTTTGATTTGAGGAAATCTAAACCAATTTTTGTAGTTTCATGCATCACTGGTGGTGTTGGCAAACCATATTGACTGAGTTCCTCTATTATACTGTAAGAAAGAACGGTTAAATATTATATTATGTATCTCTTTATCAAAATTGACTGAAGGGTAGTTCTATGTCATTCACGACAAGAAAAAAAAAGGAGAAAAAAAGGAAAAAAAAAATATTATGAGCTCTTCACAGTTCCAAAGCAACTAATCCTAGCAAATGTGTCATAGGTTCAAAAAAGCTTCCATCATCACACGAACATGGCGGTGTTGTATCTTGCAAGGTCCTATAGCTTCTTCCGTTCCGAGTCAGTGAACTGGTGTTAGAGCATTTCACCAATAAAGATGAAAACTTGTCGTGAGATTCACGATCCTCATCTCTCCGTGGTTCGACATGGTGAACGGTTAACGCACGTAGAATATCGATTCACGAGATGCAATCCACGCTCCAAGAACGCTTCCATCTCCGCAGCTTCTTCGCCCTGAAAATCCGACACCCACACCCACGGGTTTCATTTTATGTGGCAAACGCAGATTTTCTACAGAAGCAATATCAAAATGACAAGGATCGAGGTAGATACTTTGTGGGGTTGGCCAAGACAAGACTGAAGGGACAGAGTCAGAGATTTTGTTTTCAGACAGAAGTTGACCAGATTTTATGCTCCAAATCCGAACATAACCATCTACTCCACCTGAAGCACTACAAAAACGACGAATGAACTAAGAAGATCCGAAGAAGTTCAGATAACAAGAGCATGCTCATGGAAAAAAAGTGTTGGACCTGACATAACGAATCTTTCTGATGGATCGATCCCGAATTGGATACGCATATGGGAATTTACGTGACCTTCGTACGATTGGACAGCTTCTCCTCTCGTCATGCGTTGATCGTATAGCTTCATCTAACGTAGGAACAATCTGGATTTTAGATAAAACCGAAACATATTCATGGAATTTCATTTGCATGGTCAAGCCGGAAAGATAAATGGAACTCACCGATCCATCCATGGAGCTTGCCATTAAGTAGTGATCATACGTTTTAAGCGTTGCTAGACTAGATACATTGGAGACAGAACAGAGTCAGACAAAAAAAAACATGAACATAGAGGATGTGGAAGTAAAAGGAATCTAATACTTGGAAGAATTTTTAGTTGCTTGCTAACCATGTAACAGAAGAAGGCATATAGATGATACGAGACGGATTTAGATTTCCTTTGAGCTGCAAAACAGAACCCAAAAGACAACATCGCAAGACATTTTAACTGTCTCATGTCATGTGGAGAGCGTCTTAAAGATACAAAAGAAATACCTAAGAAGAACAAAATTATTGAAGGATTCATTAAATGTATAATTGTTATATGAATCCCCCGAATGTTGCACCGGCCAAACTTTAGAAAGGATCGTTAATCAGAAACTCCCATCATAATTGAAAGAAGATGTTTAGTACCTCAAACCATTGCCTATTAGAACTTCTTCGACCAGTTTTATTTGAAGAGTGACAGTGATACCGTATCTGATGTCTAGTGAGCCTAGAAGAAACTCTCCCTGGTCTCTCACGAGTATCAACCGACACAATGGCTCCATTCCTTAGCCCACATTGAATAACATTACCCTGAACAAAACATCATATCAAGACAAATTACAAAAATTGTGGTTAGAACAAAAAAATTTCAGATGGAATCTCAAGTCAAGTAATTTCATCTCAAAATCCAGGAGAAACCACAAAAAAAAAAGACAAAGAGTAGATTACGAATGGAAACACATACAGGAACAGGCACAAATTTCACAAGTCATGTAAGGAAACTTTACCGATTGATGAAACTGTAGTGCCAAAACATCACTTTTACTGCGCAGAAACCATGAAGACGCTCCCCTTTCCACGTCAACCAATGCACCACCGAGATTGGTACCTGAGGCAAAGAAAAAATGGCAAAAAATGTCATGTAACACCTCAAGATATGTAATAGCTAGCGGCATTTCAAGTTTCAACCATTATTTGCTCTGGCTATGATCATGGCCTATGTGTTCCTCATAGAGAGCTTAAGTCAGATTTTAGCTGGTCAACTATTCTTATCCCAAATAAAGAAGAATAAAGTTTTGAACTCAGTAAATGATGGGAACACACTAAAGCTCAGTGCTCGAGGATCGGAATCATCAAGTATATGAGAGAGGTGTAAATGAGAAACAACAACTCAAACAGACCACTTAAAAATCATTCCATAGGTGAGAAAAACAATGATTTGTATATCAATTGGTACATGATCAGGAAATGCCCATTTCTCGACAGAGACATACAACACAACAGCTAGACCCACAGCTTAAAGAAATTGTGTTCTCCCTGGTCAAGAACTTTGAGCTAGCTCACGTTCTAAGCACCAGCAACTAGGAGCTAAAGGATCACTCTTTTCCATTAACATAAACTCGTTGTTGAAGTGAAGTTAATCCAGGATGAACACAATATGAAAATTGCAAGACCAAAGGGAGAAAAAAAAAAAGTGAAAATAAGAGAAGAGGGCCTACCAATAGCAGCATGACTTCCATTTAAATCGCAATCAGCTGTCCATATGGTGCAATCAAGGGAAGCACCCCCGTGGATGCTCTCTCTAGTGATTGGAAACCTAGAATTGAAGTCCAATGCACGATCGAGGTTCAAAACAAAAACTGATCCAGAGACCTCTGGCTCAAGGGTTGTTATCCTGTTTCTTGTGTCAAGGTCTTACAACATAGAAACAAGAAAAGCATTGTGTACCAATACAACAAACATAGACTAGCCTTCTGGAAAAGCAGAAGAAAATGGAATATAAGAGGGATTGAGCAAGAAGACCACTAAATTATCAAATTGAGAATATTCTGAGGATACAATGCTCGGTTTGAATTGGACGTGTTTTCGGCTGCATCATATCTCCCCAACAAGTTTATAGAAGATATGCTTGAAGACAGTTGTTCCAAAGCTCCTGCAGGCCTCCATATTTTCCAAGGTGACTCCCTATCTTGTAGACCACTTTCTTTGCAAGGAAGCACCCGAAATGGAGCACATTCACATCCAAAATCAGAAGTTTCCAAGGCTTCTCCAACATCCAGTAAACTGTGAGAACAAACTTCAAACCATACGTTGTATGAAAGATTTAACATTTCTTACTAGTGACGGACATCGTAAATACTGACATTACTTAATATCATATTCAATCTGCAGAAAAGTTCAGCATCCTATAATGAAGGTTGAACAATTTCCATAACATTTATTTATAATAAATACATATAAATATGCATAGTCATGCAAACGCGTCTACAGTTTCATCAGACAAAATTCCGATCAATGTGCTATACTTTTCCGTTCCTTGCATCTAAAGGGCAGTCAAACTAGGACAGCTTGGACTATGCGACAAAGTTCCTATCAGACACATCAATAGCGAATTTTTCTCTAATTGGCCTAAATGTTTAAAGAACATGCGAATACTATTTTGTCAAAAAAGGCAAGTATGATCCCAAATATAAAAAATCACTATCATAGTACAACGAACTAATTCATCAAAAGTAAATCGTACCCCAGGGAGCCAGTCATGGTGCCCGTCAATAGAAAGTCTCTCCTGATTAGACCTTCTAATGTTTGTACACAAATCTGGGCATGTTCCAGAGCAGCATCGGCTGTCTTGCTAGTGTGCTCATAACGCCATACCTATGATATTTTAGTCATATATTACCATAAGAAAAACAGAGTTGCAAAAAAGAAAAAGATTTCCATCGAAGGCTCCTATAAATATCATCTTAGGAAAACAGAGTCGAAAGGGATCAAGGTAAACTAATTTCAAGACGTAAACAAAGAACATTAGCTATCATCATACTTCAGGACAGGAAGCTTGCAATTTCTGGATCTCCTCCTTGAAGTTGCACTTCCCCTTATCGAGTGGAATAGCATTACCATTCAACTCTCGGAAAGAAAGTAGCTTAGCTGCTTTTAGATTGGTTCTCTTCTGCAAATCAGGTTCCTGCTGGATGTGGTGAGGGAAGTGAGAAGACCGTGGAAGAGCTACGGAATTTTCTGCCCAGATGGGTCACCCGAGAACAAGTATTATATATGATTAGAGATACCGGGGAAAACGTAGTTGAAATCGTCAATAATTTCTATGAACATGAGACAAAGTTCTACGAGCAAGTCGCTTCTGTTATATCTGTCACTTCTAGCAAAAGGGTTTCCTGTGGTATTGAAGAAGCACCTGTTCCGGGACTTGATTTCATCAGCTGCATTCCTGAGGAAAATGGGGGTTCTCACTTGACACAATTTCACAAGCTTCAGGGCACGGCTAAATCCCTGAAGAGCAGTGTTTCTCCTGTGAAAAGGAACAAAAAGATCACAGTATTGGAAAATGCCACAAACAGAGAAGCTCCGAACTCAGGATGTGAATTAGTAAAAATGAATCTTCGTGAACTAATGATCTACAAAACGAAAACTTTCATGTTAAATAATCATGAACTCGGAAATCCATGCGCTTACATCAATTGTGGAGCTTCTAGTATCACGGTCGCATATTGTGAAAGCATAAAGTTCATAGCTTTGCTAAAATAGTCCTAACAAGGAGCTTATAAGTTATCAAAATACCATGGTCACCGAATTATCCCATAAACAAGCCCAAAATTATCAACAAAGATTTGAAATTTTAGACATCTACAGTATCTGCAACTCTTCATGAATCACACCTTCGCAAAACCGAGAATCAACAAAACCCAAGAATCAAATTTGAAGCAACCATATATGTGAGATCGACCTGTGAAGGTTTTGGGTCGGGATTTTGGGCGGTTTTCGAAGAAGAAGAAGAATTGGAGCCAGGAATACGGCCTTTAATGGGGAAGTATCTGTTCTTCTCCGCGTCGTAGTAAAACCCAGGAAGCTCTGAAGCAAAACAAAACCAGTTCTCACGTAAAACGCCAATACACAAACAAAACCCACGTCAGAAGAAGGGAGGAGTTGTCATGAGGAAGAATTCAGACCTGGTTTCATGATGTTTTCCTGTTCGGACGCCGAGAAGGAGAAAATTGATGGAAGCCGGAAGTGTAAATATATAACTAGGTTTGTAGAACAAAGCACTATTACTCTATTAGTATTTGTAATTTTTAATAAAAAAATTCTTTTTTTTTCACATTCTCATAAACTCAAAACAAGCTTTAAAAAGTAAATTTTAATTCGTACATTATAATAAATTAAAATAACAAAGTCTAGACAAAACATTATATATATTATTGGCATTGCTTACACATAAGAGAACCGTGAGATTAAAAAAAAAAAAAAAAAGATAGAAGAGAACACAACACAATAACCCTGAATTTACGTCAAATCACAGAAGAGCCCTGACTTTTCCGGAACTTCAAAAAAGCCCTGTACTTAAGTAAATGCAAACTTTAGTCCCTGAGGTTCCAACAACGTCTCAAATAGAATTGGGGGCCGTTAGCTTTTTCCTTCAGGGTTTATTCTCATTATATCTCCTCAATTCTTGTGCTGCAATCTCCCACTCTCGGATCCAGCAAAAGGGTCGATGATAACGTTTATAACGACCGGTTTTCTTGCAGAGAATGATTCAGAAAGAGCAGATTTCAGTTCCTCGGGTGTCTCGACAACATAGCCTTTGCCCCCAAAAGCTTGAATAAGCCTATGGTAAGCTGCATCAGGGACAAAAGATGTAGGAGCTGGATCATCTTTGAAAGGGCCCGAGATCTCTTCAGGACTCCTCCGGTCACCACCATAGACGCCACCATTGTTGAAGACTATCACCACCACTGGGAGATTGTAGCGGACCAGTGTCTGCATGATCAGATAAAAGCAACAACAACATCAAGTCCTGACCACTATGTTTATACTGATTTTTCAGCCATTGTCCTTCCCCTACCAGCAATCAACTGCTGAAACTTATGGACATCATAAACATTCAAGCCAGCAAGAGTGTTTCTCATTACAATAACTGTAAAAGGAAAGTTTTGGAAACAGAACACCAGAAAAATCATGCTTCCCTTGATTGGTATACATAAGATATTTCAATGACCAGTTTAAAGAAGTTTGGCAAAATACTACTGGGGATCAAATGCAGCAACCAGGAAGGCACCACAAGCAAAATAGGTGAAAGATGCAACAGTTGCCACAGAAGAGATGCAACATGCAACTTCATGACAGTCTAAGACCATGTACTCGAAATGTTCCACCAACTTATCCTAAAATCAAAGCCTTTTTAAGTTTCTGAAAAATCCAGACAACCACACTATCCACCAGCAGAAGCATTCACATCTTAGAGATCACTCTCAACGAGAAGGAAAATGCATTTACCTCCACTTCCATGGCACTGAACCCAAACCCAGAGTCACCTTCCACAGCAACCACAAGGCGTTCAGGCGAAGCAACAGCTGCAGCAATACAGTATCCAAGACCAACACCCATTGTGCCCCATGTCCCTGCATCAAGTCTAGTCCTTGGCTCTTTCTGAACCAACACCGACCTTCCCACATCCATGGTGTTGGCTCCTTCCGACACTATAACAGGACTCGGGCTGCCGACAGCCAAAATGGCATCCCTGATTATCCTCATAGGCGTCAAGAAATTGAAGGGCACGACATCTTTCGCCAGCTGAGCCTCCATTTTCACCCCATTATCCTTGGCTTTGGTAGAAATTGCTTCAACCCAAGGATGAGTCTTCCCGAGACAAAAAGGATCATCCTTTACCTCTCTGTTGATCGTCTGAAGAATTTTTTTGGCATCCCCAACAATGCCCAGATGGGGCTTCCTCAGTTCAATCTCTTCTTCAGAGACATCGACCAGTATGAACTTCACGTCCTTGGACCATTTCGGCGACTCTCCGAAATGAAGCAGCCAATTGAGCCTCGCCCCGACCACTAAAGCCACGTCGCATTTGCCGATGGCCAGCGACCTCGCCGCGCTCGCCGCGAGCTCGTGCGTGTCCGGCAACAGACCCTTACCCATCGGCGTCGGGAGGAAGGGTATTCCAGTAATTTCCACAAGCTTCTTCAGCTCATCCTCCGCTTTCGCATAAGCCGCACCTTTCCCGAACACAATCAATGGCCTCTCCGCTTTTCTCAGCAGGGAAACCGCCGATTCAATATCGGAGCTCCGAGGAGCCGGAACCGGGTTGGGTTTGCGCGTTTTTTCAACTTCCACGAGCAGATTCTCCGCCTCGGCCTCCGAAATCTTCTGGTGCAACACATCCGTCGGTAGATCCAGATAACACCCACCGGGTCGACCAGCGACGGACCGATCGAGAACCCGAGCGACGCAATTGGGGATTTCACGAATATCCTTCACTTTCTCCGACAATTTCGAGAAGGGTCTCACGGCCTCGACCTGATCGAGCTCCTGAAAATCTCCTCGACCCGCGTCTTTCTGGTCGCACGAACCCGAGATCATCACCATCGGCCACGTATTTGCCCAGGCGTTGGAGAGACCCGCGAGGCCGTGCACGCAACCCGGCCCTGAAACCGTCAGGAGAATCCCTGGTCGACCCGTGAGATACCCGTACGCGGAGGCCGCGTACCCTGCAGATTGCTCGTTGTGGAAGGCGACGAAGCGTATGCCGAGAGCCATCGCGCGATTGGCCAAAGATGTCACGGGAATGCCCACGACGCCGAACATATGGGAGACGCCGAATCGGGCAAGAGCTTTCGAGACGAGGATGTTCCCGTCGACGGATAGCTCGGCGGCGGCCGCGGCCGCGGAATCTGAGCATTGCTTACACATAAGAGAACCG